TGGGCAGATTCTCTCACTCTGCCATAATCATCTCCTGTGAGGCCAATGTCTTAGCTGAGGGGTGCTTCCCAAGTGCAGTGGGACCTGCCACAGTACCGAGACAGGTACAGGAGGAGGCCCTGTCTTCATATGTTCAAGCTGCCTGACTACTAATCACTCCACCAGAAGGACAGCAGCTGTGGGCATTAAGTGCACTGTATTAGTTACTTTTCTGGCACTGTGATAAAATACCGTGACCAAGACAACATATAAATGAGTTAATTTGGCTTACGATTCCAGAAGGCTTACAGTCCATGATGGCAGTAAGGCAAGGCAGCTGAAGGCAGCTGTAGCAGAAAGCTGAGTGATCACATCTTGAAGCAGGCACAGAAAGCAAAGAATTGCTGGAATTCCAGCAAGGCTTAAGGACTCTCAAAGCTCACCCCCAGTGACACACTTCCTCCAGCAAGGTTGCACCTCCTAAAACCCCCCAAAACAGCAGCACCAACTGGGGACAAAATCCAAATACTTGGAGCCTATGGGGAACAGTCTCATTCAAACCGTCACATACACCCGTTGGAACGTCAACATTTTCAAGCTCAGCAGTAATGAATGGCAAGGTGGTTCTAGAATTTATTACACCTCCAGTTCTCAGGCACAAAGCTATCAGACTCCAGAGTAATTTCTCATTATGCTCATCCCAGCCTGAGATTAACCTGCTGCCACCTGCCGACATGCTGTGCCACTGTCTGACCATCCTGCTCTCAATCACCTCTCTGGGCCTTTCATCATCCTAGGACCATGACAGGCCAAACTCCATGATCCATGGATGTGCCCTGATCTCAGGCCCCAGGGTGGCTACATTTTTAACAACAGAGTCTCTCTCAAGATTGCTTCTGGTTGATGCCCTATGAGTCATACATTGTGAGAAAATGAGATTTCTCTGTTGCTGACCCAACCATTGGAGGAATCAGCGACTCATCAAACCTCACAACTAGCTCTGAGCCTTGTGGGCTTGCCCTGGATGTAGGGTTGCCTGCCTTTCATCTGGCTTACTTCTGGAAGCAGCCTCTATCCCCCACCCCCACCACAGGGAACCGCATAACCGAGGCCGAGTTCAGCTCCTCTGTGTCATGTGGACTTTTTCCTGATCCTTTTTTTTTTTTTTTCCACTTCTTTTGTACATTTCTCAGGCTCTTCCTCTGTTTCTCTCTTTGGGATAAAGTCACTTCCTACTCTTTCTCCAGTCTGAGAGGCAGGCTCTAGTTCCCCATCTTAACCACTCATGTAGAAAGTAGGGTTTCAGTACACAGCTACACAGCAGATCTATAAAGCCACCCAAGTCCTTGGGATAATCCAAAACTTTGTTGACTGCTACATGACTCTCCTTTCCTCCAGTGAAGACCCCGAGTGCAGAGATAGTAAGTGCTGTGCCCAAGTTAGCGGCAGAGCTGCTTCTCTCACTGCAGCAGCCTTCATTCATTCAGCTTTGTTCCCACAGACAGCTCTGTGTGTAGGTGCTGGATGGGGTGTTGCTTTGTTGGTACTGGGACAAAACACCAGACAAGTATAATTTAAGGAAGCAGGTCTTTTGGCTCACAGTCTCAGGATACACAGTCCATCATGTCAGGGAAGTCAGGTGTTGGGTGTGAAGCAGCTGGTCACACTAAGTTCATAGTGAGGAAGCAGAGATAACTCTAAACACTACTAAGCCTGGCTGGATTTGTGTTTTTGACCTCCAAAAATGTAAGACAACAAATTCGTTGTGTTTTTATTAATTAGAGACAAGGTTTCCCTGTAGCCCCAGCTGGCCTGGAACTCACTATGTATACCAGGCTTGCCTGCATCTCATAGAGCTCAACCTGCTTCTGCCCCCCAAGTGCTGGGATTAAAAGTATGAGTCACCCATGCCTGTTTTTACGTCTTTAAATTTGTAGTACTTTGTTACAGTGGCAACTGGAAGCATACATTGGTCTAGGCATGGGCTGATGGATTGGATTATGATTAAGTCCAATGTAAACAAAAATGGATGGAACTTCTGATTGGTTCACTGCCTGGAAGATGAAGCTCTGCCTTTTCAGCACGGCAGATTCTTGACAACAATGGTTCTACAAAGTCCACATCTACCTCTTCTCTAGCAACTCAAGACTTGTATTCCATGCCTACCAACACCTCAGGGTCCTGGCCCCTGAGTGCCTTTGCTGTTCCCATTGATTCTTCTTGTCTTTTTTTGTTTTGTTTTGTTTTGTTTTTTTGAGACAGGGTCTCCCTGTAGCCCCAGCTGTCCTGGAACTCACTACATAGACCAGGCTGGCCTTGAACTCACAGAGATCTACCTGCCTCTGCCTCCTGAGTGCTGGGATTAAAGACGTGTGCCACCACACCCGGCTTTTGTTTTTTGAGAGGATCTCACTGTCTATCTCTGATTGGCCCGGAACTAGCGTTTTTTTTTTGCTGTTGTTGTTTTGTTTTGTTTTTAACTTTTACAAAAACTTTATTGAGAATTTCATACATGCATATAAGGTGTTTTGATCAAATCCATGCCCATTCCCTCCCTTCCAACATCTCCCATATCTCCCCATCACTTTTCTTTTTTCATTCATTTATTTATTTATTATTTATTTATTTTTGGTCTTTTTTTGAGACAGGGTCTCCCTGTAGCCCCAGCTATCCTGGAACTATGTAGACCAGGGTGGCCTTGAACTCACAGAGATCCGCCTGCCTCTGCCTCTGCCTCCTGAGTACTGGGATTAAAGGCATGTGCTACCTCACCGGGCTCATTTATTTTTATGGGGCTTTTGGGTACTCTAACATTCCCCCCTCTGAAGAGGTAACCTTCAAAATCTTTTAAGGATTAGATACAAACTCCCAAATACTTTTGATACTTTTGGCCTTGGAACAGAGTATGTTGCTAACAGGCCCAAGGACATTTTGACTTTTAGCCAAGAAACTGGCTACATTTCTTCGGGGTCTTTTTACCCTAGCTGCCTAGCCAATTCCTATCTCCTATTCTTATGCCATCCTCTGAAGGGGTTACCCAAATTGCCAATACAGACTAGGGACGCCGACTGCTCTGGCTTCTTCCATGCTGAACAGAGATGCAGGGTGAGGCAACTGAAGTACCCCTTCAGTGGGTCTAAGACTCCCAAATTGCATAACTCTTATCTCTAAAGGGAAAAGTCTTTGAATCATTAATAGGAGATGTGAAGAAGTAAAGGCAAGAGTAATTAGCATTACAAGTTTTAGACAGGTAACTAGAAAAAAGTCAGAACAGGGCAATTTTCAAATGTTCATAGGAGAGTCCATCGGAGTTTCTTGACAAGGGCTTCCAAAAGCATCCCTCTACTGGGTTCTTCCTCATTTTTCTTTTGTCTTCCAAGGCTGGACTCTAGAGTGA